ATTCCAACGGTTGGGTGGAGCATAAACAAGAAGTGATCAATGATCTGTTCAACGGCATACTGGACTATCAGCAAATAGAACAGACCGCAAAGCCGCAGATCGATATTTATGATCAAACCGGTATTGTAAGAACCACGATAAAGGTGACCGTAGCTGTTGAAGGAAAAGTAATAACATTAAAGCTGCAGGTACTGCAGGCCTGGGTAAAAGTGCGGGATGAATGGAAGTTGTTGGGCAGGCAAAGTGTACAAGTTGATTAATTAGTATATTGGAAACATTATAAATGCCTCGAAAGGGGTTGATGAATGGCTCAGAAAGTATTATTAGAGAACGCACATATTGAAGGTATCCGTTATTACGATGCTTACCGGAAGAACGGGGGGTACCGTGCTGTGGAAAAGGCGCTGAAAATGACGCCCGAAGAGATCGTTGAAGAAGTGAAGAAAAGCGGTCTTCGTGGTCGTGGCGGTGCGGGTTTCCCTACCGGTATGAAATGGAGCTTTCTGGCCAAACCGGAAGGCGTTCCCCGTTACCTGGTTTGTAATGCCGATGAATCGGAGCCGGGTACGTTCAAAGACCGCTACCTGATGGAGTTCCTGCCCCACCTGTTTGTGGAAGGGCTGATCATTTCTTCCTTTGCGCTGGGCTCTAATACCACCTATATCTATATTCGTGGCGAGTATGCCTGGATCCCGGACATCCTGGAGCAGGCAATTGCCGAAGCAAAACAGAATGGCTGGCTGGGGAAAAACATCCTGGGTACCGGCTTTGATTGTGAGATCTATGTACAGCGCGGTGGTGGTGCCTATATCTGCGGTGAAGAAACAGCCCTGATTGAAAGTCTCGAAGGCAAGCGTGGCAATCCGCGGATCAAACCTCCATTCCCGGCCATCCAGGGTTTATGGATGCGCCCGACCGTGGTAAATAATGTAGAAACGATTGCAGCCGTTGTACCCATTATCAATATGGGCGGCGAAGAATATGTGAAGATCGGGGTGGGTAAATCTACCGGCACCAAGC